ATGAACAACTGCACAAAATAAAAGAACAGGTTAACTTCATAAGTGTTAAGTATTATGAAGAAAATAAAATAGGGTAGCTGGTAGCAAGAGACTGGGAATGGATGCACAAGTGAAGGGGTAGAGGAGAAGTCTGTTGCTGAAGTATGGCTGAACCTGTCTAGGTTATCCTAAGCTGCAATCCAGGGCTTCTGAACTGGTCTCTTCTCCTCTCCTCTCCCTCTGTAGGGCAGCTCAGCAGAGTTGACAAGGAATTTATCATTGTGGTGACCAGCCTGGCCAACAGGTGCCCATACATCGTGGTTGTCCACAGTGCCTGGTACAGGATCTCCTCAAAGAACCCAGTGCTCTCTGACCAGGTAGGTGCCCACCTCCCCTATGCCAGTTTCAGGGCTTCTTCATACCTAAGGAAAGGGAAAGGTCCATGCCACTATATGGTGCAGGGAATGCCCCCTCCCCCCCCCCCCCGCCTCCCAGCTCTTCTCGTTGCTTGAGTTCCCTTCCAGTCCCATCACTGTGCCCATCTGCTCCTGTGTATGCATGACGTTTGGGACTAGGGGTTAGCTGTGCCCCAACTTTGTGCCAGACCTGGTCCTGGATACATGGCATACATTCTCTCAAATGCACACAGCTCCCCCTCAAAGTTGACCCTTATTATAACCATTTTATCCTTGAGGTTCAGAGCTGTAACTTAATATGGGGCACGCAACTAGAATATGGCAGAGTCCATTTTCAAAGCTTGAGCTCTTTCTGCTACATGATACTGTTTGCATTTGCCAGTGTGAATTTAGTCTAGCCACTAATTATTCCTAATGGGTCCAAAACAGCTTCTTACATTTTCATTTATTTCTTGCTTCTGGCCCAAGCCTACGCCTGTCTGCCTTTCATTTCTAGAACTGCCTCCATCTTCTCTTTCCCACCAAGACTGGTTGTGAAATTGGTCTCAATCCCCCAGCCAACAGCTTACTATCTCTTTCATCCAAAGTCAGGCCCTTTGGGTATCAGAGATCATGCTAATTCTTCCCAGAGAAATGGACCAAGGGTAGAGGCACAGCAAACATGGGTTTTTTGTAAACCAAGCTTACAAAGTCCTACCGATCCCTATAGTGAAACTCCTGATCCTCTGTGCCGGGAAACAGAAACATCTGTTCTCTGTATTTATGCTTCAGGTTGAAGGTCATCAGTCTTCCTACCCCCCAACATACCCTCCTGATCCCACCTTGCAAACTGTTCTTGAAGGGCCTTTGTTGCCATCCTGAAGATAACTTCAGGACAGGTACATCCTCTTCCCTTTGCCCTGCTGAGAGCCTCCTGCCTAGTTGCCAGACTCTTGTTCTTTCAAGATCATTCTCTAGGCATTGCTTCCCTAGTGTCCATAAAGTATGCTGTCACACCATGGTTTGCTGCATTATTCTTCTATTTTTAGGTGTTTAGTAGTTTTCAGTGTTTTGCCTGAGAAATGGTAATGATTATAAGTATAATTTTTGGAATCAAATACACTTGGGGTCAGATCCTAGTTCTGCCACTTTCCAACTGTGTGACCTTGGGGAAGTCAATTTACCTCTCTGAACTTTAGTTTCTTTGCCAATAAAATGGGACGATAGTAAAAATACTACTTCCTAGGATTTTTATAAGAAGTAAGATAATATTGGGGTGCCTGGGTGAATCAGTCAGTTAAGTATCCAACTTTGGCTCAGGTCATGATCTCATAGTTGGGCTCTGCTGGCCCCACGTTGGGCTCTGCTGACAGCTCAGAGCTTGGAGCCTGCTTTGGATTCTGTGTCTCCCTCTCTTTCTGCCCCTCCCCTGCTCACACTTTGTTTCTCTCTCAAAAATAAACAGTAAAAAAGAAGAAGAAATAAGATAATATGAAGCACTGAGCACATTCTTAGCACATAGTAATTGCTAAGTGTTGGCTATTAATTTTGCAAATATTGCATCTTGTTTGGGATTAATTGGAGACAAAGGGATAATTATCTGAGCTTCACTTTACTCATATGAAAAAGTTGGGATTTGGGGTCCTTATGTACTCAGAGTCTCTGAGTCTTGGTTCTGAGATTTTTGATGCCATAGTGTTTAGAGGAGAAAGAGGAGGTGCTTGTAGTTGGAATGAACAAAGAAGACTTCTTGGCAGAGGTGGTGCTGAGCCAGAGTTTCAGGTCTGCATTCCGCTGGACTTGATCAAGTTTAACTGGAAAGTTTATTTTGGCCTGACTTTGTCCCTTTACTCTAACCTAGGATTTTTTTCATTTTGTTAGGCCCTTTGTTTTATTGGCTATACTGGGATGAACAGAGATTCTGCTTCTGTGTATTTTCTTGCACGTCTGTGTGAACTGGAGAAAGTCTGATCTCCCTGCTCGGGAAAAGGCAATGCTGGAGTTTGCACTTGCTATATCCCAAGCTGATGATATAACAGATGACCATTTCAAAATGCTTGAGGTACGAGGCTTCAATCGAGAAGATGCCTGGGATATAGCTTCCATTTCAGCTTTTTTTTTTTTTTGCCATGTCCAGTTGCCTTGCTCATTTTGTCAGTCTTGCCCCCAACAAATAATTCTATCTGATGGGCAGAACCAATGATGTCAAAGACGTCAGGAGTGAACTTGATGCTCCAAAAGTATAACAGCTTAAACAGAAAGATCCATATTTCAGGCACATTGCATTATAACACATCCCTTAGGAAGTAATTTTTTAAAAACATCTAGTCAGTGGATAGGGAAGAAAGTAAATGAATTTGCTCCCGGCCTGCTTAATGAGATAGAGCCTAAGTGTTGGGGGTGTCCAGGGGTGTGTGATACCTGGGCATAGAGGAAACGTTTGTTAATTTCGGAAACCTTTGGAAACCTTTGCCAGTTGTTTCCTTGTGTTGTGATCTAAAAGGAACATCAGGGGAAAGAAGTTCATAGGATGCTTTAGGCATTTCTGATGAACTGGTATCTGTGAAGTTGAGCAGTTGGAGTTGAAAATTTTTTAGCACTTGAAAATAGTGTCTAGACCAATAGAAATTGGTCTGTATAGACTGATTTGCAGTCATTTTCCTTGTTAACATGACATGGTTGTATTTAAAGGCTCTCAAAGGCAGTGGGTAAACAGGACAGGCACAGTTAATCTATCTTTAGTAGCTTCTCAGTTAACTTCTTTAGTACCTTCTCAGGTAACTTCCAGTAATTTTTTTTTTTTCTACTGATGAGTTGTAAAATCATGGTCATCTCAACAGAATTCTAGTCCTTATGTAATTTATTTTAGGTTTTAGTAAAAATTATTTGGGATAAGTGAGGACTCCCATTTTAAGAAGAAGCATAAGAAAGAAAGGGAAAAAAGCAAACCCTGGCATTACTGAATGACTTGTTCTGTGTGTTATAGCCACCGTTGCCTTTTTTGGCTATCTTCTCAAGAATCATTCTCATTATCTAACAGAGATAACATGCAAACCTACAAAATATTTTCTTCTCATTTGGCTTCTCTAGATTCTCTAAATTGTTAGTGAACATTTCTTAATCAGTTTTGGGACTATAGTGTGTTAATTCTGATTTACCTGAACTGTGAAATCTGATTATCTTGAGGCAGCACAAAATTTCATTGCAGAGCTTATATTTTTCTGTTGGAACTGTATCTTAAATACCTTGGAATATGTAACCTTTTAAAACTGTCCTATTTTACCTATTAAAAAAATTAGTAATATTGGTAAATGGTCAGTGTTTTGTAGACCGTAAAATTTTAGCCATTGACCATAACTTAGGGGTCAAGCAGAGGGCCTCTGTTATTTGTTGCAGCCAAATGTTGGGGGTCATTAAGGGACATAATTTATTAATCACAAAATAGACCTTTACCTACCCCTTCTGCTCTGTGTGGGCAACATGGAGAGTATCTCCAGAGGAATGGCTGCTATGATCTCTGAACTCAAGACGCTTGCTTCTTGCCCTGTTTTCAATCACCTCATGGACAGGAGAGCCGAATAACTACTAACTTTCCTGGTTGGAGGACTTGCTGAATGTTCAGCTCTCCAAATCTCATTCCCCTATACTGGAGATCCTTCAGATCTATCCTCACAGGATAGCTCTTCCTACAAAGATCCTCCAGGTTTATCCTCAGTCATCAAATGTGTGCTTTCTACAACACAGCTCTCAATCAAGAATTGTCAGTACCTAGAAGAGTTGTCAGTTCTTTTATCTACCTTTCCTTGTACCTCAAGCTTTCTTTTATTGAACTCTCCTTCCCTCCTGAAGAAATACTGCAGTTCCTGTTAACTCTTTTTTACAAAGGAGTAGTATATATTGATCTTTAACAGCAATGGTGAAGGGTCTTGCATCTGTAATGCTGTCTGTGCCCTGGCACATGTAAGCAGGATTGACCATAGGCTCTGTTGCTTGTCAGGTTGATTTGATTCAGGTCTCCAGCTCCATTCAGTGACTCTTGCTGGATATACGCTCCTTCCTGAGGAGAGGAAGACATTGGTCTTGATAAACTCCTGACCTACTGGGCAGTAGCTGGGAGTAAGGCAGATATCAGGGCACCAGTAGGCCCCCTTTTCCAGGCCCCCGTTTTCCAGGACCTGGGCTTTTAGCGCCAATAGTGAACCTGAGTACTTACTCTGAGCCCGAGTAGGCAGTATGCCATGCGACTCAGTATGTGGGACCTGCACACAATATGGTAATTTCTTCCCCTTGTGACCTTATCATAAAGTGAGGATAAAAGTACATCATCATAGTCCACCCCTTTGGCCATTTAGGCCCAGTCATCCCTGGTCACGATGATTGACAACTACAGATTGACTCTGTCGCACGCGGTACCCTGATGCTAACACTGCCCCATATAGCTAGGATCCTGGGCATCCTCATTTGCGCTCAAACACAGCTAGTTGTTCCCAACCACCGTCCTTTCGGGGCTAAAACACCCGCCGTGGGCTGTGTCCCCACTTTCGCGGTCCCCAACGGATGATGGCCAGGAGCAGCACGTGTTTCCCAGCCGGCTGGGTTAGGCCGTCGCACGCCGGAAGTGGCGGTGGGATCGGTGAGGTGTCGGCCGGCGGGGCAGCGGCCCGGGAGTGGGGGGGGGCGGGCGCGTTGGTCATGTTTACCTTCGGGCCCGGTAGTCCGGGAGGGGATGGGACGGCCGGAACCGGGACTGAGGAGCCGGCATCCCATGCCGGGCAGGCAACGGCAGCGGGGCCGCTCCCTTCCCCGCCTGAGGCTGACGCAGCCCCTCCCCCGTCGCCCTCCCGGAGCCCTCGCCGTCCCGGCGTCCCCTCGCTGCCCCCGGCCGCACACGCCGGGGAGCTCGAGCCTCACGCAGCTCTGGACTCCTCTGCAGCTTCCACCCAGGGAGAGCCGTCACCGCCCTCCCCAGCGCGCCGGCGACCCGGGCCCGACTGCAGGGCGGGGGGCCGGGGCCGCCACGGCCTCGGTGCCCGGCTGTTCGGGTGGCTGAGAGAACGCAGTCTGGGCCGCGGGCTGTTCGTGGACCCGGCGCGGGACAATTTCCGCACCATGACTAATCTCTATGGTTCCATCCATCCCGCGGACTCGGTGTACCTCAGCACCCGTACCCACGGCGCGGTCTTCAACCTCGAGTACTCCCCCGACGGGTAAGCGAGGCCCCTCGGAGGGCGGGTGCCGGCCTCCGCCTGCTTCTGGCACCCGTTTGCGGGGGCCGGGGGTTCGGGGTCACCGGCCCGCAGGCCCCTTCCCCCGGCACTTTGTGAAGTGCCCTGTGGCTGTTGGAGGTCTCCGCCCAGCCCTTGGAGGTGGGCAGGCCCAGGACGCCTGTGTGCTCCTCGGGACTCGGCGCGGTGGGCTAGAGCCCGGCCACAGCCCGGTTCTCCGGTACGCAGTACGTGCCTGGCAGATAACGTGTGCGGTAAAGGTTCCTTGGTTCCCTGTCATTCGGCCTTGCATTTTTCTTCTCGAAGCTTCTGACGAGGGTAGGGAGCCTGCAGGTTCCAGGAACTCTGCGCCTGACTTGCCCTGAGGGGACAAGGGTACGTTCCTTGGCTCCGGGAGGATAGATACTACGACGAGGCAGCCGAGTGGTGCCTTATGATGGGCATTTGTGAAGTCCCCAGGCTAGACTGGATGCTTCTGTTAAGGGTATCCAGCCTTTTTCCTGGCAGAGTAAATATTTCATGTTTGGCCTCAGTTTGCTTTGGGTTTTGGGGAATTTTCAAAATAACAGGTGTTTTTAAAACTTCGATGAGTACACAAATGAGTTCAACAAGGAACAAAGGAAAAACTTGACCCACAGTTCTACCCTGAGAGGACATAGTTAATTTAACTCTTACCCGATCAAGGCCTCTGGATTCCTAGTCATTTGCTTAGCTGCTTATTTATTCATTCTCTCATTCAGCAAATATTTGTTGAGCACTTGCTATGTTCCAGATGCAGAAATTGCGGTGGTGAGCAAAAGCAGCTAATGGGACCACTTGTATTACGCTTGGGACATACTAGTTCAACTACATATTAATGACCATACTAAATAATTCATAATATATATTTATAAATCGGATAAAAGCTTGAGGGAACCTGTTGTATACTAGGGTGTTTGAGGTTTCTGGAAGAAATAACATTTGACCAAGAACAGAAAAATGAGTAGAAGATGAACTAGCCAAGATAAGATGGGGGAGGGCAGAGACGCATTTCAGATAGAGGAAATGGTATGTTAAAGGACCTATGGTTGGAGGATCAGTTTGTCATGCTAGTGAAGCCAAAAGATGATAGCTTAACAAAGCAAAATCTTTTGCTAAAGAAAAACTTAAAATACGCTAACAAAGGAGAAAAGTAGCAGACTCTGAAATCTCATGGTGAGGAGGCACACCGTATTCCATTTCACTGATGTGGGTGTTTCTTCCTAATTATGCTTGATGCTAGGATCTCTGAGGGTTTTTACTAACAGCATTTGGGTGGAACCTATAGCCATGAGTGTGCACCTGAATACAGGGAAGAGAGGAGAAACTATTGCTGAAGTTTATTCACGGAACTGCCTTTCCCCACTCCTCTCTCCATCCAAGCCCTATTCCTAAAGTTCCTCCTAAAATACCAAGAATCTGTTCCTCATAAACATTTGGTTCCTTTCTTCTCCATACCCCAACTTCTTTCTTCCCACCCCCCTACCTATTCTGTCAGGCTTTCAGAAATAGCTGTTTCTACTCTCTGGAAGTGGGATTTTAGGTTCAGTTGACGGGTAGAACGAATTATGAAGAAGGAGTTCCCATTGCCAGTGCTATTAGAATGAGGAATATATTACTGATAGTTATGTTTGAATGTGCACAATAGTGTCCCGTACAGACATTTTTTTTAAAAGTAGTTAGGTATTCTGGTACTTAAAATAATTCAACACTGTTTAATTTGCAGTTGACATATACTCATTCTAGAAGACCTAGGCAATAAATGAGCAAAAAGAAGCTAAACAGCAGTTATAATTGCAGAGATTGAATGGCTAGCCAAGGAATTTTTTCTTTGTATATGGTTATCTACCTATTTTAAAAGGTTTTATTTATTTGTTTAAGTAATCTCAACGTGGGGCTCAAACATGACCTCGAGATCAAGAGTCACATGTTCTTCCAACTGAGCCATCCAGGTGCCCCTGTATATGTTTATTTTAATATAAACATGGAGTCATTTTGTTGCCTGCTTTTTTTCATAGTATATTGTGAATTATGTTAATATATTTCTAAAGCATTATTTAAAATTTTTCATTTATTTAAATAAAACCTGTATAAATAAAATTTTTAGATTTATGTCCTCATGATAATTCCCTAGAATGAGTCAAAGGTTATGAAGATTTTGGATACCTATTATCAAATTGCCCTCTGTGAAGATTATACTAATTCTCATTCCTGTTGCCTGAAATACTCCATTGAAAGTACCTGTCTCTGCATACTGTGGCCAACATTGCACATTGCTATTCTTTTCTGTGTCAAGGTAATAGGTGAAAATAGTTAAGTGTTTTAATTTTTTAGTATTCTTACTATATCTACTAATATGCTCCAGATTTTCATAGGGCTTAAAATAATTTTATAGAAAAATGACATCTGTGTTAAAGGAGATAATTTCTCATAACCCTCAATTGGATGGGTTAAATCAGCTTACTAGGTACATTGCCACTGTCACTTATAAGGACTTCTCAGTACAGACAAGGAGAGGTGACACAGGAAGTAAGAATTAAAATTATGAATTTAATAGAGACCAGACGAGAGAGAATTTGGCACTAAAAAAGAAATGTAAAGGATACATGGAGTAGAGGTAATTTCTAAAGAATTCCAAAAATGTTGTACAATAACACCTCTTAGGATGACATTTTGAAAAATGAAATTTGATAATGTTGATAGATAACAATATGTGTGACTGCTGTAGAGAGAATTAGTGTATTGGAAAACAGAAGTGAAGAAATTATCTAAAATGGAGACAGGAAAGATGCAGAGATTGAAAATATTAAGGAGGTTAGTGACATGTTGCATAGAGAGAAAAGGCATAGTATATATTTGATAAGCTCCTGAAGAAAATGAGACAGATAATGGGGCAAAAAAACAACAACACCCATTTGAAGAGAGAATAGCTGAGAACTTTCCAGAACTGAGGAAGGTCACCAGACCATGATTTAAGATGCCCAGCAGACCCCAAATAGGAATCCTTTCTAGACATACAGGGACTCCAGGACAACAAACGGAAAATCTTAAAAGCTAGAGAAAAAATACCTTCAAAGGATTAATTATGAGAGTGATAGTCAATTAGTCATCAATAATAGTGTAAATCAGGGGCGCCTGGATAGCTCAGTCGGTTGAACATCCGACTTCGGCTCAGGTCACGATCTCATGGTCCATGAGTTCGAGCCCCGCGTCGGGCTCTGCTGACAGCTGAGAGCCTGGAGCCTGTTTCAGATTCTGTGGCTCCCTCTCTCTCTGCCCCTTCCCTGTTCATTCTCTGTCTCTCTCTCTCTGTCAAAAATAAATAAACTTAAAAAAAATACTTAAAATAATAGTGTAAATCAGAGGACAGTGGTGATTATTTTCAGTATGCTGGGGGAAAAAAAATTTCCAATCTAGATGTCTATACCCAATAAAGATGAGGATCTTCATTTTCGTCAAGAACACATTTTTGTGAAGAACAAAGATGAAGTAAATACATACACAAGCAAAGCTCAGTGAGTTTGCCACCAGACCTTCAATAATGAAGTTTGAAGTTCAAAGAGAAGAGTTTTCAACAGGAAGATCTGAGATGGTAGAAAGAATGAAGAATAAAGAAATGAAATATGCATGTGACACTAAATATAACTTGAATTTTGTCTTTTGGAATTAACAAAGATGGAACTAAAATTGAAAAAAGAAACAGTAACAAATTAGGAAGGAATGTTCTAAATTTCTTGTTTCCTTGAGGGAGAATTTAACATCATAACTTTAGGTTTTAGTGTTTGCATATTAAAATCTGCAAGTTAAACACTAAAATACAAGAAAGAATATATTATTTCCAGACTAGTAGAGGAAAAAATATGGAATGAGAAAGAAATACTTCAAAAAAAGACAAGAAAGGGGAAAAAAAAGTAGAAAAGGTATAATAAATAGAAAGTACAGGGATGCCTGGGTGGCATAGTCGGTTAAGCGTCCGACTTCGTCTCAGGTCATGATTTCACAGTCTGAGTTCGAACCCCACATTGGGCTGTGTGGGACAGCTCAGAGCCCGAAGCCTGCTTTGGATTCTGTCTCCTTCTCTTTCTTCTCTTCCCCCACTCATGCTCTGTCTCTCTCTCTCAAAAATAAATAAACATTAAAATTTTTTTTAAAAAGAAGGGGTGCCTGGGTGGCTCAGTCGGTTAAGCATCCAACTTTGGCTCAGGTTATAATCTTGCGGTTCATGAGTTTGAGCACTGCATCGGGCTCTGTGCTGATAGCTCATAGCCTGGAGGCTGCTCTGGATTCTGTGTCTCCCTCGCTCTGCCCTTCTGCTAGCACTCTCTGTCTTAAAAATAAACATTAAAAAAAGAAAGCACAAAGTGGCTGGGGAAAAAAAAAAAGGAAGCACAAAGAATGGCTGAAAGTAAATCCAAATATTACTAATTATAATAAGTATAATGGTACTTAATATGTTCAAAAGGATAGACAAAAATAAATCAAACACATTCTAAACAAAAGCTAGTGAGCTATATTAATATACAAACTGGGCTTTAAGGCAAAATTACTAGAGATGGAGGTCATGCTGATAAAAGCTCAATTCACGTGGAAAATAAAACAGCTCTGAACTTGGATGAGTCTTTTAGGTTTAAAATATATGTATCAAGTTTATCATGAAGAAAGATTTTAATGTACATTATAGTATATACTTCAGTTATGCAGACACAAACATAAGATCAAAACACCACTTAAAATCTTGCTTTAAAGGGCAGTATGCCGTGTCCAGGCCTGATAATCAGTACACATTGGTTCAGCTGTACCAGTTGTAAAAATATTCATATATGTCCATAGTGGTTGAATAGTTACTGCCCCAAGCCCATTGAGTACCTTCCATGGGACCTCCTAGAGTAACCCATTATATAACAACTACAGAGTTAAGAACTGGCACAGCAAGCTACCAACAAGCATCTCACTGGAGAGCTGCA